ATATATATATATATATATATATATATATATATATATATATATATATATATATATGGTCAAAGTTACATGTTGACATGTTGAGATACTAAGGCTTTAGCGAAAATAGTTTTCACATTGACACACCATGCAGAATATGCAGTCGGTATATTTGCACAATTCAACTAATATCCAGGTTCTGCTCAGCTGCTGATTCAAGCTAGATGAGTGTTTGCATGTGTTAAAACTCGAAATCAACTAAGTCGAAGATAACCTAATGTGCAAACAGTGAAGTGAGTAAGAAGTCTGGGAAAAAGTCTTTCGAGAAGAATTGATGTTAGTCGCCGTATTGTTGGGTATGTATTGTTGCATGTGTGCGTGTGCACAGTGGTACTACTATACCGATCGCAGTGCATGATGTGCGTAGCATCGATCCTCAATGGTAATGGTAGCACTATACTACTGCTACACTCTATTCGCCTCCGCCTATGCATGTTGAGCCTTCTTTCTTCTTATGGTTGCAATGTGCTGGGAATCAATCGATTTGATGAGCGAGTGTCAAGTGGGGAATGCTGATTTCTGTCGACTCCCGACTGTTTTTTTCTTCCAAACTTGCGGTCATGTTCATATCCAACAGTTTATGTCGAGCGCGGAATAGGACTTATGATTGCCTTTGAAAAGAACCTCACGTTGATCGATAAAAGGATACCATCTACTTGCTAAATTTACGTATGAGCGTTGCGAGTATGTGGGTGGAATCCCCGCTGTGGATTGCAATAATGGATTAGGAACTTGCTATTAAATTAAAGAAATTGAAAGCCAACCAAATAGTGTGAACAGAAACCTGATGGACAAGCAAACATCTATGTCAGGTGGATTAGGAATCGTGCATTTGTGGTGTAGTATATCCAGAGTGAAAACGGCCAAAAGGAAGATGAGGCCTGAAAATGCGACTCCGCCCTACAGTTAAGAATCTATTTGAGAATGTGGTAAACTCAAGTGGAGACATAATAGTACGAAGCAGATTCTGGTTTGATGAACAACCAAAAGGGCCAACTACAATTACAATCCGCCTACGCAACAATGAAATGCGTAGTTCTTCACGTGCTTTTGCTCGTGGTGGTGGTCAAAAACAGCGGGATTTCTTGCACGTGAAGTAGGATCAATAGCTTGTCACACCAATCGGTAAACACTATCTCATGTTGATGTGGAATATTGCCCAATCGCCAAAATATCATCAGTGTGTGTGTGTATTCACACACAGACAATGTGTGGGGTTCGCAGCAATGGGATCTCAAACAGGCCTCATTAGATTGTATCCAATTTAAGAAACCGATTTTTTTCTTATTCAAAGCCTTGCGGTACAACAAAAACTGCGTGTACGAGAAATGCACACTTTCAGTTGATACAACCATTATCCTTGCACTTTTCGTATGCCGGATTTTGCCGCTCTCTTTCGGCCAAACATGTGGTCGACCAATGAAAGCGTATAAAAAGAGGAACAAAATGTTGTTCAACTAGGTGTGCAAAGAAAGTGGGTGCATGTTAGAGTCACTGGTCACGACAGTCCGTCATTTCATCCGGTGATATATGCGAGAACCATACCGGTAATCATAAACATCTATGTACGTTAAGCATTCGCACTAGCGCGAGATTGATACCATTGAATACTCTTCGTGCGGAAATTATCCTGTGAAAACAGCGTCGGATGACCGAGGAATTTTATACACCATTCGTGCCACCAGTGGCTTAGCGGATAGTGAGTCTCGAATGAGCCCTCTGAATTCCTTTTAATCGATCTTTGTCACGGTATTGGCTTTCGACAAGAGGCAACTCAGAACACACTACAAGTGCTTCCACTGTTTGTCCAGGTAGGTCACAACTTATCTGCAGTCAATGATGTATTTAGAGCTTCAATTAAAATTTTAAAAAAAGCTTCGAACTGATGTACTCGTCAGAAAGCGTGCGACAGTGACCTTCATGTTGTCGTTACTAATCTCGCTGCCCGAAAAGATCTGTATACATAGTTGGACTAGGGGGTTTGTGTGTCGACGGTATTCGTTTAGTTCCATTTTCTGCCCATGAAACCCACTCGTTCCCTATTCGTTTCACGTATTCTTGTTTCAACCGCTATGAATATACACCACCCTGGGAACAAGCGTGGTACTAACGCACCAGCAAAGAGAATAAAAAAGGAGTTGGTTTTGGAACAACGGATAGCTTACAAAAAAGAGAGCAAAGTTTAGTTGGTCATTAGAGGGTATGAGGCTTCTACGGACAGGTCGCACAGCATTCACACAACTGCATTCTGCGTTTCGAATCGATGACAGTGCCCAAACTGGAAGACGGGCAGTAGTCATGAAATCCAATGGCGAAGCTAGCTCCTTCATATCCCTAAGCAGATTATTGGTATAATAGCGATATTGTCTCGCCCAAGTGTGCATGTATGTCTGTTGTGCGGTTGGGAGTAATTGGTGACGTTCGTGATGCTCATATGTATTTTTGTTGAGTTCAAACGATGTAGCCAACAGAGATGGTTGAGGTACGGATACGCACTCGGATGGCACCACCTGGTTCAAATATAGGGACAAATAGCAATGGAGAAATCCACTTGCAGATGTTGCTTTAGTGTGAGAAAATATTGCGTGGCAAGGCAGTTCTTGAGGGAAAGCTGGAGTACACGATGTTGTCGCCAAACAAAAGTACGGCAGTTGTAAAACGGTGAGAAATGACCGCACTATAGCTAGAAAACTACGGTGAAAAAAACTGTTTTACGGTCATTTAAAACGGTGGAGTAGAGGGACTGCATCCACACAATAGGGAGAAATGACTTACTTCTTCGTCCAAAATAGTTTCCTTTTTGATCACTTTCATGGCATAGATTCGTCGAGTTGGGATATGCTCGACTTGGAATACCTTCGCGTAGCTTCCACGACCGATCACCTTGAGCATTTTGAAGTCTTGTAGTCCTACCTGCCCACTAGTGGAGGTTGCAGGTGTCACGGACATTTCAGCAATACGACCTTCCAGGATAGGCAAGACCACTTCAGGTTTGGATATGGAAATTTCCACCGGTCGTGTTTGTCGCTGTGAGGAGAGAGAGAGAGGGGANNNGTAGAAACCACTCGAGAGACTAGTTACCCAAATCTCCAAGATGAGCACATTGACAGTGTGCAGCGGTAATGAGAGAAACATCGAGAGACGCAAATGAGCTTTTCAAGCAAAAAACATCAAAATAGAGTCGGGAGAACACAAGGTAAGTAGGAAGACACAGACAATGCACCTGAGATGAACGAATACAAACACCAGGAGAGGGGCATTTGTATCACATGAATGTGCTATGCAAGAAAAAAAAACATTCAATGCGTTTCAATGAATATTTTGAACCGAAAAAGTAGCAAAGATAGCAAATGAATACAATTTTGTGATTAAGGTGAGGCACTTTGATCACACCAGGTATAGTATACGGTAGACATGAAAAGCAATGGGTATTTGGTGTATACGCGATGTTCGTCTATCTAAGTGTAGATGATTACAGTCTTGAAGTGTCATTCAGGAGGCGAGGCTGCCAAGACCATGTAGACTATCGATTCTGGTATATCAATTCGTCGTCCTCGATATACGTGAGATACAGGAGTCAATAATAATGAGATCCATCGTAAGTAAGTGCGGTGTTTACAGACTGCATGAGCTGCTTCTGGTACATCACAAACTTTGCTCACCGAAGCTAGTGTTAGGCGATTCTTAGACCAGTGTTTTTTGTTAATACACATCTTTCGTGTGATGAGCAACAAACGGGGTAATCCCCATAGTTACGAGTACCTGATGTTCGCTGAAGGGAACCGGTAAATTAGATTACGAGAGTTGGAATAGCGAGCTACGTAAGGCAGCATTTCGTTAGGTGCGGTATAGAGCCGGACGACAAAGAAGCTGCCTATCACGAAAGTTGGGCTGGGATGATGGCGGGTTTCGATTCTGTAGACAGCGACTTGAGTGACTTAAGTACCACCACCCAAGGTTACCCGATAATCGCCGTAGGTTAAAAATGACGAGAAGCGGTTTATCAACGACGAGGCACAGAACTACAGACGCCTGAACTTGTCCAAGTATCACGAATGCAGTTTAGTTCTTACATTGGTTCACGTATGAATTGATCATATAATTTCCGCATAAATATCACGTTTTACAGTGTTCATTGAATTCAGAAATATTTCATTGTGGGATAACAATGAATATAGATTGAAATCCGCAACCTAAAGAACTAGCTGATTCAAGTGGCTTGTTCACTTTGAACACAAGTTTGCACTTTTCCACTAAAGGTCAATTAACCTCTTGAGTATTACCATGAATTGGAAGAATAGGAATTCATTCGAAGATCATGAGAACAAATTTCAGTTTGTACAACTAACCTGTTGTAACAGATGCGAGCCAGCATCTAAGGTCATTCTCATCAATGCGAAAGTGAAAATTGCCAGATCCCTCACTTCTAAGTACCACAACTTTGATGAGACGCGAGCGTACAAACAGGCGATACATTCGGATGCGTAGGAAGTTCGATATTGGAAAACATGTTGTCGCGCATCTGTAATTGACACTAGCTCCTTGATAAAACAATCATTCGTCAAGGGAAGAAACACGGTGTCAAGGTATTTTCATGTGCCGGTGGTTTTACCGCTACATTACTTCCTATCCAGCAATCCTGTGCTGCGGATATTTACTCAACACCTGTTTTGCAAATTGTGCTCGCGTTAGGTTAGGGTGACGCTCCTGGTTGTTTTCATTGTTCCGATTGGCTTAGTTCGCGGACGATCCTAGTAACAAACTCTCAGTAAATGTCATGAAACCGATTTATCCTCTCCAAGGCACTAACTAGGACTAGTCGTACACGAATCAATGATCCGTTTTTCCAAACATATACATTCTGGGGGAGCATTTCAGTGTTACTGAAGTGAGAATAATGAACAGCTCGGCCCGATGTGATAATGTAGGACTGAGTAAATCAGGCGGTTCAAATGAGTGGTTGGAGCCACAACTAGTATGTTCTTTTAGCGGTACGTAGCCTCAAGATTATCAACCTGAACACCACGCCTTTTGCAATGAGGCACAACGTAGTTGGGTAGACACGGTTCTCGTTCTGCATGACAGACCCCTTAGCTGTGGAGCCTACACCCTCCGCCGCATACCTTTTGGAGGAGTCGAAGATGTTCACAAACACACGGTCTATGCAAGTGGTGTTTGGTTACGGTTCTCATTCACTGGGAGTTCATTAAATTTTTTTGATACACTGCAAAAAAGGTGTCGAAGAAGACTAACAGAAAGCAATGGACAATTGTTACGTTCGTGGTGGGACTCGTCAGCATCGTATGTTACCTGTATGCTCAAACTGCGGTTAATACATGAATTCTGACGTGGTCAGATTCACACAAAAACAACAATGTAAAAACCCTTAAATCTGGGAACTGGTATGCAGTAACTGTGCGGCAAATATTGGTCATTGGCTATGTAGCCCGAAGGGGGGGGGGCGGTGATGGTTTCGACTTCCATTCTGAAGGTGTGCGGCTTGAATCTTGGAGTAGAGACACAAGGATAAGTGTCAACAAGGACGAAACAACTGCCCCGGGGCTGGTTGTTGGTCTTCACAACGTTTGCCCTTTTAGGTATGTGATGCAACGGGCATTCAAAATGACAAACGGGGTACGAATGATGAATCGATTGGGAAAGTTGTTTATGAACACGGTGCACGTTCTCCACTAAACCACTGTATCACGGGGATAGTGCTGAGATCTGGTCTCCCAGTGTTTGTCTTGCATATATGATCCGAAAACATCTGGCACCTACGGAACAAAGCTGAATAATGCACGACACTACAGTATACAGGGTTATTCCTTTGAATCAGAACACAAGACAAGCAGTGTGTGTGTGTGTCGAAAGAACAATGACAGTATGAGTGTTTGTGAGTGCAAGACTGAGGGGATGGACACGCACCACAATACAAGGAGGCATGCAGGTGAATAACACAATGACCCACCATGACCATGCGTAGATTGAGAGTAGGAAGCAATACATAGACGGAGTACATACAGTCCGATGACACTTACAGCATGTTCTGCATTGATGGACTGCAGTATGCGAAACCGAAGAGAAAAAAGCAATGAGGATATAACAGTGACAGGATACGAGCTCCTGCATCAAATAAAACCATGGACAGGCACGTCAGTATCTCTCAAAAAAGTAGTATTCTTAAAGACCCAAGTTGAACTCTCAGTTGTGTTCGTGTTTATTTGATCAGAGACTAAAAATTCACTACTTCATATTGTTGGATTGTTTGAAACGAGTAGTAGTAAAATTGGGATTTCAGCTTGAACCAACAATAAGATAACTATTTTAGGGTTTCGCAAATACTGATAAACGTATAGGCAACTTACTGTTTCTGCGAATGCTGGATTTTGGATACCGGTACGCGGATGACCTGAAAGTGAAAGCAAATAAAGGAGCACGAATTATCGAAGTTAGGAAAGGTTACAGCTGAGTGAAAAACGGGCGAGGTCTTACTAAACAAAAGCACCGAAAGCACTGATGAAGAGAGGATTCGATCGAGGCCGAGAGAAGAATTTTGAACTATACCCCAAATTGAGCACTGGCACTACTTCAGCTGCGGCTTCACAACATTGAGATTTACGCAGATGCTATTCCGAAGTGGTGTCATAATGTCGGATTTATCCCATGTTTGACGTTTTCTGACGAAAAAATATATTTCAAAAGGAAATTCGTCATGTGCAGAGCAATTGAAAGGTTAACTGAAAACCTAGGAAGCACCGTACAGCTGTTTCGACCCGATTGTGTCTCATCAGCATTGCGAATCCATCGAACCCGGGACCTAACAGGTAAAACGCAAGCATGCTACCCACTCGGCCACGAGGCAGTTAATCAGACCGTTTTTCAGTTTCCATTGACGCAAGATAGCAACCCATCTTTGTGCGCTTGTTGCGGGCATCGTGCCTCGCGCATTTGGGCACTAGCCTCCGGGATTATGACTCATTATCATCATCATCATCATCGTACAGTGAAATACAGTGAGTCGAACTTCACTGATCACTGCCAAAATCGCAATTCATACAAGGTCAGTGGTAAAATTTAAGTTGGACAGGGGTTGGATCTATTTTGAGGAAGGGAGAAGATGAGCCACTATGGTCAA